CATCTGGTGAAAATTTCATGTCATTAGCAACTCTAGTTTACTATTTACTATTACTATTTACTGAGAAAAATGGTGACGTGTTCAATACTTATTTTACCCGCTGTATTATTCCAATGTTTCTTTGTTTGTTTATGCAAATAAGTGCTTTAATCAATTGTTGTTTGACAATAAGGTGATTGTATGTTTTTCTGTTTTATTTTTCAATTCAACTAAACAATAACCATAATCTAGTTTACTATGTTTTACTATGAAAAATGTATGATTATTTGTGCTTAAGTTTAAACAAATCTTAAGTTTTATGTTGGTTTGAAAAGTTCACTAAAGTTTACTTCATTTTCAGTCAGTGTTAAACCTGCCAAGGTTTTGCTGTTTTTAGCAGGTGTTGTTTTGCTGACCAAGGCAGTATTTACCAGACGACTGGAAATCTCCCAGACTAAACTTCACCTCCATCTTTTACTAACACTTCGAGGTCACGCCCGCTAGCACCCTCTCTCTCTCTCTCCTTTAGTTACTAACAYGGGCGCGCCTCTCCCCAGTGTCCATCTTCGTTCCAAGCGWAGAGAAGCTGAGTTTTTCCTCCTCAGGAAAACCAGCGTTAAGGTGATAAGACGCCCATTTGTCAAAGGGCCGGTCTTACTCAGGTTCATGACACCACCAGTCGTGAAACCAGTTACCAGCTACTCCAAGAAGTTTTGTTTCAAAACTTTGTGAGAAATTTTTATCTTTGACCAGAGGAACCCGTCGGTTGTGACTCCCCAAGCACGGGCTAAGAGACCACGAGACGCTGAGATAATCAACCCCTTGAAGTCTTGACAGCCTGTCCAGTTTCGGTGGTTCTGAGYGGATCCCTTGCTGGCCCAGGTCAGATCTCTTACACGCTTAACCTGACTTTGAAGTCAACGAAAGGTAAAAGCGAACTTGGTTGATTAAAAGAACATCTGAGTCCTGGCTGTGCCGAGCGACACTTCCAAACCTTCTGGCTCCTCACTTTGATAAGATCAAACTTAGTTCCCCTCCTAACAATCGTTTCCTTCCTAAATTCTTAAATCTTTACCCATACCCTGCCAAACCTTTAACAACAGTGCCTCAACAATGGTTTATTTACATCTTAAGCCAAAACATTGTTCCTGATAAAGTTGTCAAAAATAACGATAGTTAACACGTACGCAAGTTAATTGTTATTGATTTCAACTTTTGTAAAAAATCTGATCGTCCCTCAATGAGCTTGTACATAAGTAATAAATTTTTCTGTAAATAAATATCAGTTATTTTAGATAAAACTTTACTGACTATGTCACTCATTGTTTAATTTCCTGATAATTATACAGAGAAGGTATTATTATCACGATTGACTCGTAATTCCTCATAACTTAAGTTATGAGAAGGTGTAGTTATTAATCTCTACAACAACAACTTGGCATCATGAGACAGGTTTCAGGTCTACCTCCMTGAAAAATGACCTTTACAAGGCTAACATCTTTGTTTTATAAATACAATGAATACTTCTGCATGAAAAGTACTCAGAACTTTGTTTATGGCTGTTTGCAGGCCAGCACTTCAAGAATCAAGATCCCAGACTTTGGCCTCCATAGCCTCCCTAAAAGTGTCAGAAATGTTCTGATCAATTCACATTCTGGGACCCAAACTCCTCAATAACTGTTTTGTGTCAAAAAAGATCATAAAATATATTATTATTTTGTTGTTGTTGTTTCACTGTTGACTATAAAAAAGAGAGAGAAAATTTAACTTTGTTCAGTTGTATTAAAATTGTCTGTTTAATCTGCAAAATAAATGCAGTTAACCGTTTTTACTTTCAGATCCAAGATGGGCATCTGAGCGCCTAAATATTGATTTAATCATGTAACACACACAAAGTCCTCTAAAATAATTATTCATGTGGTTTCAGCTTTTCGTGTTTAAGAATCATGTTTTTAAACCCAAGAAGTGTTTCAATTCGTGAGCTAGATGTAGTTATTTTTTTTATCTAACTAATTTTTTGTTAGTAGATTTTTAGCAAATTAGAAACTTTGGGACTTTTGATCTTAATGATTTTCTGTGATAAACCAGTTCACTGGTATCTCCTGCTTAAAAGGTTAAACAGCTATACTACTCTTTGTATGTTTCTTCTTGAAAAACTTAAAATATCCACTAAATATGTATTTTTCAGATGATTTTAGTTGCCATTTTATTTCCTTGAGCCAAAAGGATTTTGTAAAACTCCTCTAGTTAATAAGCAAAMGTAGTTTAAACTTAAACACTCACACTTTCTTTGTCTGAGTTTAGAGAGACGAGACCTGGCGCTATCATTGGTTAAAACGGGCTTTGCTTGGACCAATCCTCTTTACTTTATTTATACTTCCATTAGGTAAAGGTATTAAACAGCATGGGATAAATTTCCATTGTTACGCTGATGATACTCAGTTATATTTATCAATGAAACCTGATGAATCCAACCAGTTACTTAAACTACAACAAGCATGCCTTACAGACAGAAACATGGATGAATCTTTATTTTCTGCTTCTAAACTCAGATGAGACACAGGTTATGGTTTTTGGACCTGAATATCTTAGGGATCAAATTTGCAGCCTTTCACCTCCTCTGGATGGCATTAATCTGGCCTCCAGTTCTAATATAAAGAACCTTGGTGTTATTTTTGATCAGGACATGTCTTTTAACCCCCACATTAAAAATGTTACCAGGACCACCTTCTTCCACCTGAGTAATATCACTAAAATTAGAAACATTTTGTCCAAAAATGACGCGGAAAAACTGACTCGTGCATTTATCACGTCTAGACTGGATTACTGTAAATCTTTATTATCTGGGTCCAAAAAACTCTTTAAGAAGTCTTCAGTT